TACACATTCATATTTACATTATTTACATATAAATACTGCCTACAATGCAAGCCTTCACAGAATTCTTGTCATAAGTAACTACTAGAAACAGCTGTGCTTTAAACAGCTGTTCAGAACCCACAGTGCTATTGATACAAAGCCATGAACCACTGCTTCTTTCACACAGCAGACACACAGTGACAAAGACTGCATCTCAGGCTGACTTGGCCTCTCAGCAGAACCAGTGCTGTGTTTTTGCCTTTAAATGAAGAAAAAAAAATGTAAAAAAGGTTAAATACAGCTTTACGGGGGGCGTTTTGAGCACAGAGTCATCGACAAGCTGCCTTGTCCATCTTTATTAGCCAAATCCAACACAGAAAATGGATCCCTCTGCTTATCAGCATAGCGCTCTGTGTGTTTGTGCCCGAGTCAGAGGTTGATCAGAGACATGCCACCAAATTATAGACACTGTAGCCTTATTATAGTGATGGAGGAGATGGAGGCAGGGGGGGAGGTTAAGAGGATACTGCAGATTAGAAAGAGAACTGCCGCAGTACACTGCCTGCTTTTGTAAACCCACCATCTGAGGGGGAAAATATGTCCCGGGGCAAGACCATCAGTCACAAACCGCTCGTCCCGTTATAGATACAACAACTTATTTTCAGATGTTTTTGAATGCTGAAGCAGGGAGGGAGCACCCATGTGAGCAAGGTCACGTAAAATCACTCAAAACCAGCGAGGGCCACAAATAGATGATGTGCATGCAGTGTTTACAGAAAGAAAAGTGCTGACGGGACTTCACAAGCCCTCTATATTGTCTCATATCAAAACCTCATAACCCTAGTGTTTTTTTTTGTTTTTTACATGATTTGAGGTGCCAGCTGCCTTTACATTGCATGAGCATTTCATGATGACTGGACCAATAGAAATGATTCAAAAAGAGAAGCGAGTTTTTGTTACTACCAGGGGTGTAGCACCAGAATTTGGACCCCAGTCACAGTAAAGTCCCCACTCCAATCCTCAAAGAAAATAAAGGAAAGAAAAAAAAAAGATTTATTATGTTGTATTTCTTTGTGAGGTTGAAACATTTAAGGGATAAACAGCTGTCAATGAGGAAAATGTGCTTTGAATCATCAATCTTCCTGTATTTTTAATAAGGATTTTACTTAAATTTGGTCTCAAAACAATCGATGTAGTTAGAGGAAAATTCAAAAGAAGCAAACTAAAAACACACACACACACACACACACACACACACACACACACACACACACACACACACACACACACATTATCTAAGCTGCTTATTCTCCTTGGTTGCTGGAGCCTATCCCAGCACTCACTGGGCAGAAGGCAGGAAACACCCTAGACAGATTGCCAGTCCATCACAAGGCAGACACACAGACATACATTCACACCTAGGCATACTTTCCATCTAAAATTCACCTGACTGCATGTCTTTGGACTGTGGGAGGAAACTGGAGCATGTAGAGGAAATCCACACAGACATGGGGAGAACATGCGAACTCCACACAGAAAGGACCCGGGTCGCCCGGCCGGGGAATCGAACCCAGTGCCTTCTTGCTGAGGGCGACAGTGCTACCCACGGGTGAGCTCACTTGTCAGAAAAGAAAGAGGTGGTGTTCTCTCTCCCTCAGTGACTGTGGCTGCTTCTAGAACTAACAGTATCTGTTTTAGAGGTTACCTACTGGGCTGAGGCTGACTTCTTAGGTCATTATTACAGAAACACTGTTTAAAAAAAGCTTCCTTGCTGCACTGAATCAAATCCTGTGCTCCGTTATCAGCGCGTGCCTGTTATAAAAGACTGCAAATGTAGCTAATCGCCACAGGTATGGCTAACCGCTAGTCAACTGGCTGGCTTACGTTACTACAACAAGGGCCCATTTATCATTTGGCACTTCAGGCTCACTTGTTTTCTGAAAGAAACGGGTCAGAAGTTGTTTGCCCATTTATTGCTTTCTCTCTTTCTCTGCTCCTTCTGTTTCTGAAGTCCTGAGTTTTGTTTGGTTTCATTTTAACCAGGTCTGAATTAGCAGACAGATGGTTAGAGCACAGCTCTCCTCAGTAAACGTACATGAAATTCAACCTCAACATCATGAGTGCTTAGTGCCAAATCAGTGACGCACAATTACTCCTACTGATATTGTCCACATGTACACACTTAAAAATGATGGTTCTTCAAAGGTTTTTTAGTAAAGGTTCTATATAGAGCCATGAACACTCAAAGAACAATTTGCATGCTTAAAGAGTTCTCTGCATGGAGAAATGGTTCTCAAGGCTAATGGAGAATGTCTTGCGTATGGTTCTATATAGAACCTAAAAAGATTCTGCTATTGTTAAATTGTCAAGCTAGCAACAATAGAGGAACCCTTTTGGGTGCTATATAGAACCCTTTTCAAAAAGGTTCTATAAAGAACCATATACATCACATTCTCCATCAATCTGAAGAACTATATAAGCATGCAAGTGTTTCTAAATAGAACCACTGTCTTTTTTACGAGTGTATGGCACTGCTCCCAAGAACCACTAAGTTGGACGTCTCAGCCATCTTATTCTTGTGTAGTAAAACTCCTCTCTCTCCCCCGTAAACGACTGAGGGGGTCCAGATCCTGGGCAAGCTTTTCCTGTAATGCAGCTGTTATTAAAAAGCAGTGCCAGGGTCCCTGAGGTGGCTCAGCCTGCTCTGAGCACACAGGCACAGAGGAGGAGATGTTTGGTTTACGTGGTTCATATTAGCATGGATGGCAAGCTAAGCTCCATAACGAAGCCCTCGATTCTCGCTCAAACACAAGGGCCCCAACTTCTCTCTCATACATGCCTCATATCGGCCGTCGCATCTCCCAGGCCTGTGTGCTCGCTCTCTCTCTGCAAGTGCAGGCTTAACCTTTCAAAGGTAAAGCCCCTTTTTACTGGAATTCCTTAATTTCCTGAATAAGCAGTAAAAGACCCTGCTTTTTGATAGGGCGCTATCATGATGGCCATTACAGAACATACATGAGTGCTGATAACCAGCTGAACCACACCACAGGAGCCACGCGATGGGCCTCGGTTGGAGAGTTTAATCCCACACTTGTGGGTCCTCGATTGCCTCAGTTCCTTACTCTCGTACATCTCATCCAACAACATACATCTCATATTCGTTTCATAGTAGAACTATTATGAAATTCTATAATGAAATTTAAGCGTATTATTCGGTTGCTCAGTGAAATTTTTAGTACCTACTATAAATTGCTGAATTAATAACAGGAATTAATAATAGTAGGAACTATTCTTAAGATTACCAACTGAATAATAAGCTTACACTATTAAAAAAATAAGGGTGCCAAAAGGGTTATTTGGTGGGATGCCATTGAAGCCACATTTAGCTCCCTAAGCAACATTTCAATGGATGTTTCTTTAAAAAATGGTTTAGCAAAAAATCGTTTATACAATTTTCCACTTACCCCTGATGTCAGCCAGGACGTGTTTGTATCCAATTTTGCTTCTTTAGTGTAAAACTGTACATTAAGTCAGTAGTCAGCCCATTTTTTTCTGTAAATACATCCTCAAAACTCTTCATTAAGGTCGCGCAGACTTGTCGAAAGTGTGGCCGCGTCCCAAACCACATACTAGCACACTAAATAGTGTGTAAAAATAGCGCGTATACCATTAGAAGTGCACTCATTAGTCTAGTATGTGGCGCGGCGTATGTGTTTCACTGTTAACTATAAAAACGAATAACACTTCACCGCGTAGCTGCACGCAGCCATTTTAGACAACAGGTGTGGTGCCGAATCCTGGCTGCCCTTCGCGACTGCCCGTCACGCAAGCATATGGGCGCTACAGATGACATTCACGAGTTCTCTTGTTTCTCTTTAGAAACATATAACTTTAATAACATAGATTAATAATAACGAAAATGAACAATAAGAAAATCAGCTATCTACAAACAGAAGCAACAGAAATGACGAATCTAACGTACCATCCATCTGCGTGCGCGAGCGCACAACGGGGTGTTGGATTCTTCGGGGAGGCGGGATTCGGCACAGCACTGGTCTTAAATGGATGCCCACAGCGTTCAGCTACTCGGTGAAGTTTTGCTCAATTTTTATAGTTAACAGTAAGTCGAACTTTTGTCTAAACCACATCGACAAGTCTGTGCAGCCTTAATGAAGACCTGGATGCGGGTTAAGAGCAGTTTTGAGCGTGTGTTTAGAGCACTTCTAGCGTTTTGCTAGCAACGTTAGCCTCGTAAATCCGTTTTAAACTAACAACGCACTATTTGGACACCAGACATGGCTTGGCTTGTTGACTACATCTGGGGCAAGAACCTTTTATTTTTAAGACTGTGGGGTCAATAGGTCAACGATGAAAACATGCGTTTGTGTGTCAACACTTTTCCCAAAAATGGTTTCCTAACAGCACTGTCTCCTGGAATCAAATCTGTTCCGAGCATCAACACTTGAGGGAAACGTACACCCACATCACCTTACATCACTACTAACTCCTCTCTTTTTCTGGCCCACTCGTTTTCTCTGTATGTTTGCTGGGGACCAGCTGCCCGCTGATGACATCACACTGGCTTCCAGCTGCATTAGCGTGGTGACAAGAACAGATGTTGGCTTTTTGGAAGCTCCCTGACAAGCAGCATCTCCACCCCAACTCCAGTTGCAGGGGCCAGAGTGCTGTTGACATCTGCTCTCAGCGTTTCCCTCATAATAAAGCCCCTCGCCAGCACCGCAGCCACTGGAAACCCACAGCCAGTGCCACGTCCCCTTGAACCCAGATTTCTGGCAACGTGAAACAGGCCCTTAAAATTCGAGCTGGTTCTCATGATGCATCCCAAAATGTATTTTGAGTGCAGAGGTTCAGGCAGCCAAGTCACAAGAGCCACACTGGTGTTTTGTGCCCAACTGTCTATATGTGGACACTCACTCACTCACTCACTCATCATCTAAGCCGCTTATCCTCCTGTGTCGCGGGGGGTGCTGGAACCTATCCCAGCGCTCACTGGGGGGAAGGCAGGAAACACCCTGGACAGGTCAGCAGTCTAAATGTGGACAAGTGAACCTTATTCTCCACATTAAAGAGCAACCGAAGAAAACATGACTCATTCGGGTTCTGCTGTTTATCATGTTTTGTTTTTCATAAATTGTCACTGACAGAATTATATTAGCCAAGTTACAAAGGAAGATGATTCTCCAGTTAAGAATTTCATTCTCTTCCTGCCTCACAACTGAAAATGTATTAAGTATACACACTCAAATATTATGGTTCTTCAAGGGTTCTGTAGTAAAGAAAATGGTTCTATATAGAGCCATGAACACTCAAAGAACCATTTGCATAATTAAATGGTTCTTTGCATCATTAAAGTGCTTTAGATTGATGGAGAATGTGCTGTAGATGGTTTTATATAGAACCTTTTGGAAAAGGGTTCCTTGTAGCACCTTATTCTTCTATTATTACAAGCTTGACATTATAACAGTAAATGAACCAGTTTTGGTGCTCTATAGAACCCTTTTCCAATAGGTTCTATATAAAACCATCTACAACACATTCTCCATCAATCTGAAGAATGCTTTCATGTTGCAAAGAACGCTTTAATCATGCAGAGGGTTCTTTGAGTGTTCATGGTTCAATATAGAACCATTTTCTTTACTAAAGAACCCTTGAAGAACCATCATTTTAAGAGTGTAGATGTAGGCGGTATGGCAAAAGTCTAGTATCATGATATACAATATGTTACAATATGTATTTTTTCAGATATCTGGTCAGTTGGAACAGAGAAAAAAGAACCAGTAGTGCCACATTTTAAAGAATGCTGTCAAAAACAATGATTTTTTTCAGTATTTGGCATACTGTGTTGTACTAAATCCAGCTAAAGGGGACAATTTTTTTTATAATGAAATAAGCAGTTCCTCAGAGCTCTGCAAGTACTGACAATAATCACGATATTTTTAAAAACGCATACTGTATTGTATTGTGAACTCATTTATCACGATAATGCTATATATTGTTCAAATGTAACATTTTGTGTTGACGATTAATAGTAACGGTCTAAAATTGCGCACAATAAAATCTTGTTACATTAAATTTCATTTTTTTTTTTCCTTCAGCTGTATCTATTGCACAGGAGATACAAGGATTTCTGAAAACAGTGACAAATTACAACCCTGTAAATAATTTCATACATTAATCTGTAGCTACATTTTCATAGACGTTTTGCATAAATTCTAAGTGATAAAAACAAACAAAAAAAATGTTGGCTATATTTGCTGCCCCCTGCTTTCCTGCAGAAAATGATTTTATTTTTTTTTTATCAATAAGGAATGTTTTTTGACATGTTTATGCCTTTATTTGTTTCTCTAATTGTGAGTGCTTTTAAAATTATTATTATTATTATTATTATTATTATTATTGTTGTTGTTGTTGTTGTTGTCATTTTCTAATGTAAACCAATGTAATAGATCATCTTTCTCTGCTATACACAGACCAGTTTCCCAAAAGCATCTTAGAATTAAGATCTTCTTAATTCTTGACTGGTAGAGAGAGTGTTGACCGTGGTGCTCGCTCTGCCATTTAAGAATCATCTCTCTGCTAAGATGCTTTTGGGAAACCCATCCCTGTTTGAGCACTTTCCATTTAGAAAGACTGTAGCCGTTTCTGGACATCTCTCTGTGTGAGACTCACTCTTTTACTCTAAAGGCTGGCGCACAGACTACTGGTTACACAGCAATGCAGACAATCACGGCTAACTACTAGCTAACGAAAAGGCAAAAAGAAAGATTTAAGATGAACATAGATCATTTGAAGACGAATGAGCTTATTTACACTTATAATCACTCCAGCTGGTTTCCTGATATGTTTAACTGTCAAACACTAAAAAGTCGCGAAGCCGAAGTCAGTTTCTTAGTCAAATTTTCCCGTTCCACTTTAAATGGTGCCTGCTACATCATTTAAGGTGGAATGGGAAAATTTGAACAAGAAAAAGGGCAAGTGAGAAGCTGACTTCAGCCCCATAAAAAGTCAAACATTGAGTGATGTTTTACAAGAAAATGTTGTACCTTTGCGAAAAAAGATGCGAAAAAAAAGATGCGAAAAAAGCGGCCATGTCTGAGTTAAACCTTAAAGCAAAGCAAAGTAAGTCTGCGCTATTTATAGCCTATACTAGAACATCAGCACATACTGAGGCATATTGACAGCCAAGATGGTAAAATAGACATAAAATGTTGTGGCTCCCAAGGTGATTTGCATTTTGTTCAAAGGACAGAATGGCTCTTCTAAACATTTGGGTTGCTGACCCCTGGCCTACATTGACTTTCTGAAGCCCTAAAAGATTCCTTTGGATGGAAACATAGCTACTGTGAACACCCGTTAATCTACATTCAGTGAAATGATGACTTTATTTCGGAATAATTTGAGGGATAGAAAACGCGAGGGCAGAGTTTGGCCCAAGGCTGGGGTCACTCACACATGTACGTGGACACGGAGGTGCAGCTGTTAGTGTAGCCGCTCTGTAAGCACGTGGGACAAAAACATTAGCCAGGAATGGGCATTCTCCCCACTTTTCTCATTACACAACTTTCCCCATTCTGGCACGACATCACAACCTACAATCCCTCACACACATCTGTTCGGGCACAATGAGCTGTCTCTGGCCTAAAAGATGGGGGAGGAAGGAATCTCAGCTGTTGGAGTTGTCAGGACCCTGGGAAAGTGATCTCTCTCTCTCTCTTACTCTCACTCACTCTCTCTTTCTCTCTGGCCTTGTAATGGCATAACCCCCTCCCTAACTGATGCCCCTTGAAACATGAGGCCTTGGCTCTGATCGTATTTTTTGTGTGAGTCTTAGAGAGGAGAAAAAATGAGGGGTACCACAGGGCTTAAAATACCATTTGTACACAGGCATAAGATGCCCCAAAGTTTAGCTAATGCTAAGACCTGTTTGGAGGTTGCACATCGCCCCAGCATCAGTACAGGCCTGTTAGTTAGCATACTAAAGTTGCAGATGTTGTGTCAGTGATGTAAATGCAGACCAGAACATGCCGCAAAACAGTCTGAGACAGTAATCAAGGTAATTTATAAAATGGATAGTTCCGGTCCTAAAATCTGATTAGCTGAGCTGCGTTCGTACTATAAATGCCTGAAAATGTCACTTGAATGGATTAAACACTTCAAATGTTCGTGTTATAGTCAGAAGTACCGTCAAACCCAGTGCTAGCTATGAAAGTTTAGAAATTCTAGCCAACCAAATAGTGCATCATTTATCAAGTCATCACAGCGAAAGGAGTTTTAGTCACTCTGCTTCACTTTGTGCCTAAGAACACCCTTCCTGTGATAAAATCACAGTAACCACGGCCTCTTGTGGCTTATTTGCTTTATTCAACCACGGCTGCAGATCCTTTATTCAGTGAAGGCACCAACAATCCAACATTGTATGTTCTACTTAACCTTTCTTACTCAACATTTCACATATTGTGCTGCAATAAATACAAACATGACAATTTCTGCTCTTTCTATAGTGAAACATGCCGCTGCCGAGTGTTCTTCAGATACTGATAATGTCAATGATATGCTCAGAAAAGCATTGTTTATTGCAATAACAATATCACAATAACGATGAAATATCGTCATTTTGCCCACCTCTAACTGACACATTCATAAGGACTTATCGGTATCCGTCTGTTGGACAACAGACAACACTGCAGTCAGTGCATTAAAATCATGCTCTGTTGTCTGTTTACCAGGGTTAAACTTTAGATTCTCTGAAACGACCATAACGCCAGCTATACACCTCTGATGTCCTGACAACTTTCCTGTATAATGAACTCTGATGGTAAGCTGTTTTTTTTTTCAAAATATGAATGTCGTTTTTGAAAATTGCTATTTCACTATTTTGCATCTAGGTGAACGAAAATGTTTCAAACCTAATATATGTTGCAGTATGTACAGTATATACATTTCTTTGAATGTCACTGGACACTCTGAATTACGAAGCCATACACTGTGCAAGCAAACACTGCTGCACATTAATTTATCTAACATTATAAGACTGAAAACCAAAAAAAAAAAACTTGCCAAAATAATAAAAAAAACACTAAGCTTTGTCAAATGTTGGGATTCATTGATACTATTTTTTCAAAGCGAGTACAGGTTTGAGTACATGTTTTATAGGATGTGCCAATACCGATACTATACTAGTAACCTGAGAGTAACCTACTTAGAATTAAGTAGTTAGTGTGAATCAGTGCAATGTACCTTTAATAGTTAAAGAATTAAAATCTAGCTGATTTTAAATGAAGTGCATTAGCTAGTTGTGCTATATTTGTTACCTTGGACCCAGTAGTGCTGCAGTGATGAAGAGCAGGTTTTATTGCATGTCAGAAAAGCACTTGTGTACAGCTGTAAGAGAAGTACATTTCATAGTTTTGCTCCCCATCTGTCTGCGTGACCTTCCTAGATACCCTTGTTTTAAAAATTGGTTATTATGAGGAAAAATGAATGAGTAAATACAGTCATTAATAAACAAAAAACAAACAACAATATGTGTTCGGTTTTATACGTCAGTTTTATGAATGTATGAATTTTTCACTGTCATGTTAACCTGACAGTATTTGGCTTTTGTCACTGTGTCCGCCTGATTTACCTGATTTTATCTCAGACACTACTAACAGATCAGTGGTGCAACTGAATTTACTAAAATTATATTTTGAACTTAGTCACAAACTTATGCAACGGTACAACCCAATCATGTGAGAGAAAATATTTGCCATCTCTTTAAAACAGGTTTACATCAACAAACCTCCCACACCTGTTTATTTATTTTTTTTTTTTTGATGGGCACAAAAAATGTCCTTGTGAACGAGGCCTAAACCAGTCTATCAGCTCTTCCCAACCACGTGCACAGCATTTGCCAACCATTGTGAGCCATTTTGCTGCAATGCTAATATTGCTCACTTTGTAAAGCATTACCCTTCATCCAGAACCCCATGTTCTGGGTTTGATAGACGCTGAGCAGAGAGCCCCCCATTCCTCTTTGAAAATGAGCACCCAAACCCCAATAATCCCTCTGCGTTCTGAACCGTCTCACATGTATCTGCGAGGATCTGGCTGATCGCAGTTGTGCCGCTAATCCTTCAAATTAAATTTCTTTCCTCCCTCACCGCTAGTCTGAGATCAGCGCCGAATTGCCCATATGTGGTTGTAATGAGGGTGGAGCATTCTTTTGCTGATATAAGGCCTTGTAATCCTGCTCTAACCCATACTTTAAATTCTATTGTAATTGCCCCCTTTTTCCAAACACAGGTCTGTTCAAATACAGGCGCTCACTGTTCCCTAGGCAAGGACAAGGAAAAGAGGATTTCTTTCCCAATGGGACTCTCAAGAAAGCTGAGTGTCTTTTAATACAGGTGTTGAGGAGAGGACACAGACTGTGGTGAGGATTAGCCAGTGGATTCCTGAAGCATGTGCTAGTCATTTTTACAGGAGAGTAGGATTTTTTTTATGATAGAAATACTGTTTACTGGAGCTACTGGAGACTGACTCACAGCAATTAACAGGTCCAGAGGGCCTGAATGGAACTGGAAGGGCTTTTCAAAGATATACAAGAAAAGTTAGTTTGAATAAGTATCAGTCTTCTTGATATTATAAGTAAGCTTTTATTTTCTGAATGTTGCTATAATCAGTCCTCATGAGATCAACACAAATGCTAAGAGGCTCCAGAGCAAGACTAGAACATAAAGGACTACAAGTAAACTGAATTGCAACACATTCTCCGAGGCTGATGGGTATTACAAGACGCCCGGGACCCCCTTATGATATTTATTGTTCCTCTCTTCCAAAACTTCCCTCCTTCAAAAGCTAACCGCTGTGAAAGCAAGCTCTGAGGACTGCTCCTCTGCCAAAGCTCCACATATTCAGCAAGTAAAACGAAGGACGGCGATGCTACAGGCCGCAACGTCTAAGACCCTGTTGGTTCGCCGCTCGATGTGTCGCCACAGCCTAAAGGCAGCCGGTCGTATTCACAGTGATGCGAGCCTCCGGTTAACAGACAGAGAGGCATTCCTCACACTGGCACAGGCTTGCTGGCAGAACACAGCCACCTTTTATTACCGTCATAATTAATGACCCGCAGTGCCGCGCCTGTGAAAAGAAGCTTTTGAAGCCTGTCTCCTTATAAGGGAATTAGAGAGGCAAAATGACGGCCAAAAAAGAGCTCAATTAATAACAAAGTGGGCCCAGCACTGGGATAACATGACAAACAAGGCAGAACATTTCGCTTGGCGTCATATGAATTAATCAGTCAAACACTCAAGACATGTTGGATAAACAAACGCTCGATTCATTGCTGCAGCCTGATGGGACTTCTGATTAAATTAGAAGCCTCTGGAAGCTGCAGTCAGCATGTTCAAGGATAAACAATGACAGTTCGCATGCACTGGGGGCCGGAGGGGGTGGAGAACAAGGACAGCTTTTAGTGACTTTGTCTGATAATTTGTACTCCTAAGCTGAAGCTTGCAGTCGCTCACGGTGCAACAAGTTACACAAACTTTCCATTCAGTCCAATTCTGTTCGAAAGCAGTTGTGCACACAGTTTCTTTACTGTGTGAGGTCTTTCTAAATAAATAACACTAATTGAAATGGAGTCAAGCAAATGATCTAATTGAACTCAGTCAGGAACGTTTTGTTAATCAGTGTAAGAAGTGCAGACCTTTGAACTGAGGAGTGTTTAAAAGACAAGATAACAAATCATATTTTCAGGTTTTTATTTGCCCAGCGGCTTTTCACAATTCTTATTTTTGGCTTATAATTACACACACAACATCCTACAAAGGTGATTCCACAACCTGCCAGTTTATTACAGTCAGTCTTCAGAGAAGTGCAAAGAGAGTGCTAGTGGTAGGAAAATGTGTTTAATGGAGTCGGGTTAAAAAACATGAGAAAAAGTTCATTTCCATGGCACTGTGTATTGAATTAACCCTCCTGTTATCGTCAAGTTTACTAACATTTTCTATCCTTGGGGTACCCTGGCAATTTAAACCCTGGGAAATATCAGTCCTGGTGGGAATTCAGTTTTTCCCTCCTCCATGTGGTGCGAACTATTAGTGGTTCTTGCACTACTACAGGTGTGCCTATATTAGGTTAGGGCCCTACAGCAGAGGGACATTTTATTGAAGATTATAAAATTGCATGTTATAGTGACCTTAATATTATCCCAAACAACCAAAAGAAACGTGTGTAAAATGTTGGTATTTCGTATGTTTTTTTTTTTTTACAGCTAAAACTGCATGGGGTCAAACTGACCCTAAAGAAGACCAATGCGTACAAAATGTATGTTATGGAAAACATATGTACACACAATGTATGTACAGGAAAACGTATGATCATGTTAATTTTTTTGTTTACCTAATTGTCCCCATTAAATCAGGAAAACTCTTTAAATATTAAGCAACAAATGATGTCAATCATTTATTTAGAGATGTTAAACATTTAATAGGGTCTAATTGACCCCAATGATAATAGGAGGGTAAAAACCTTACTGTATCATACAGTTTATTATTATATTTTTTGTCTCCTCGGAACATGTATTCACATATTCATGTCTTGTAGCTCCTTTCACATTGCTTCTTTTATGTCTACTCTCTTATTCTTATATGCTTTACTCTATTTATTCTGTTGTTATTTGATTGGCCCCTTTGTGAAATGTCAAAACCTTATATTTCCAAAATAGTAATTTTACAGGAGAAAGAAAAAACCTGCTTTACTTTTAATGTAAGTCAATGGAACCAGACGTTGTCCAACTTAATTTTGGGTCATTTCTTTTTGTTTATTCATCATGAAATTTACACACAATGTAAAAGACAACAGGCACTTTCAAATTATTTCATAAACTGAAAAATGATTGTTTAGTATGTTACATGACATACGTATACTCACTCACCAAGGCGAATTCCTCATATGTGTAACACACTTGGTGAAATAAAACAACTCTGATTCTGATTATTGTAGCATGGCTATGTATAAAAATATCTGGACACTTTTCAGACTGAGCCTTCATCAAAGGGAGTCCCTAGATTGCAGTTATTATATTCAGTGCTGATGACAAATAATTCTAGGCATGTACTTTAATGGTAAACCAGATCATTAGGATGCATTGGCAGGTGTCAACATTATAATGTTCATATTGAATATAATCCTTCATATCAGTGCTAAGTTGTCATGATGATAAGCAATGTTAAGGTTTTTGCCTCCTAAAGCATATTCAAACTAATATTTTTATTTTTTTAATCTTTCTTTTATTTTGTTTATATAAGGGGGGCAATACACATTAATCAGCATCATTCGTGCAGTCCTTGAGCATGAAAAACACTTCTTACATTGACAGAAAAAAAAATCACAAAGCAGCATTAAAACGGTGCTTAGTTCCAATAAATGTAACAAATTGTAAGTTAACAAAACATGTAATATGATTAAATGTTATTTTGGCACTTTTCATTGTCTGTAATATTTTCATTTTTTGAAAATAAATCAATTCAAAACCAGAGGGCAGGGATGTCCAGTCATGTGATGCTTGTAAAGAAAATGCAGATTAACCAAAAGTCAGAGTGGTGAACTAAAATGCTTCACTATAGATAAAATCACTGATTTCTTTACAGTGGTGGGGATAGAATCCAGAGGTCACAATGTTTACAACACAAATATAGCCACATGTTTACTATCAAAAATGACTGAACCTACCTGTAATGGAATGCTGGTAACAGTAGAACAGTGACAAATCTGAAAAAAAAAAAATCTTTTGGGGACTGGTCTTCCGTACCATGTCCTGCACGTACCTTTCTACCACTAATGGATTTTAAAAACACATTTTAGGCCAAAACATTTTGTCAAAACTATTGTAAAACTAATATCATGTTTTTCATGATATTCCCTGGTCCTGGAGACTCACTGCCCTGTACACTTCAGTGCTTTTCCAGCTTTAACACAGCCAACTTTAACTCAATAATGGGCTGTTAATGAGTTTATTTGTTGGATCAGGTGTATTTGAATCAGGGAAAACACTAAAAAGTGCAGGGCAGTGGGCCTTCAGGACCACGGTTGAGAAACACAGTCCTAGACAACAGGCAATGTCTATGTAACTTTTTCATATAAGAAGGAGCTACTAGAGGAGCTATTAAATGATTCAGATGTCTGGTTAAACAACTATGACTCAATAAGTTTCTCTAGAACGGCATTTCACATAAAATCACAACAATTGGTGGCTGTTTAATGGTATTATGCAGTCACCTCTGCATTATACAGGCCTTAGTGGATCTATTTGTGAGTTTATATACAAACTCTAAAAGCACTGAAAGGACAAGAACATTTTGGACTTTAAAAAACATACTATATTTGAGAATTTAATCAGATTTTACCAACTTAAAATACTGCTTGACTAAAATATTACAATGATGATGGTGATTTGACCTCTTGTTTGTATATATTCTGTCTCAATCTGCTTAAGAGTAGTCTTACATATTTGTCTCCAGCTTAAAAGTAATGTAAGGAAAAGTGATGCCTTCACTAAACACAGTTTGCATCTCTATAATCAAACTATCTGTAATAAATCTGAATCTAAACTAGTAACATTTTCAACAAATTAAATGGCTATTTTGTGCATCAGTTTTACAGATGCACAAAATATTTTGTCCTTTTGAATCTCTGTTTAATTCAGGTTCATTATTCTTCCTTTATTTCATGTCCTAGTTTTATCAACAGCCCACAAACACAGAAAATAGCAGCAACTCTACATTTTTTGAACAACAAAAATGGAAACAAAGCCAAGGCTGTGAGTAAGGGTTGGCATTAGTGTGCAGTAAGGTGTTCCTGGCAGGAGGCTGATTCCTTTAGGCCTCATGCTGGGCTCCTCCGCACTCGCATGCAACAGCGATTCTGCTCACTCTTCCCCGCTCGTGTTAAGTTTGCAAAGTCCAATTTTCAGCTAATATGGAGGTCGTGACAGAGGCCACACAGGTCTTGGTAGGACATAATAGCAACAGAATTGTAAATATAGGTTTTAGGGAGCGCTGAGCAGAGAGGGGGGGTTAAGGTGAGGGAAATTTCCACTGAGCACACAGTGGCACGGTCGTGAGCTCACAGACTGCAGAATAGATTTTCCATTTCAGTGTGTCACATTAGATTTTCGGAGGTGCTCGGTGGCAGGTACATGTCATTAGTAACACTTTAGCACCATAATGAACCTTTTTATTTATCTGCTGCTTTGCTCATGAATGCAAAAGGAGCCGATCCCCAGCTGTGCCTGCTAACCGTGATAAGAACAGAGTTAAGAGAGGAGAGGAGAGAATTCTGGGTAAAAGTGGGAGATTTCTGGAGGTTGTGTTCGGGATACTGTCGTCATTGACCCCATTGCAGAAAATGATAAGCCATCATTTACTAACTTAACATGAAATCATCAATTTGTATATGTATTTTGATCCAAACACAGTGAAATGCTACGTATTGTCTTTAAATTATTCTTTCTGTATGTATAAAAAGTATTCTGATCTCTGAACACGTGCCTGAAAATATTTGAAAGGAAAGGTTGGTGGAAAAGTCCAGTTTGCATGATATTCTCTCCCCATTTCCCCAAATTTTACACAAACTATAAGAATGGACAAAAGCGGAAAACAGTCCTAGCAGCTATCATGAAGCTCGAGTTATTATAGATAACAGTGTGTCATACAGTGTCAGAACCACAGCAATAAGTCTATTTGAGACTCAACATAGTTTAAAACAAGTATGTGAAGATTTAGGCATGCAGTTTGCACAATGCTATTTGCTAATCATAAGCATTTATCATTTGCTGGCTACATTAGCCTCGTAGCTCCAGTGCAAAACTAAGAAAGCAAACTTCGAACACTAAACACGTCTAAACCGATGAGCTACATTTTGAGGAAGGAGAAAATTGTCTAAACATTCCTTCAACAAAAAGTGGAACAGAGAGCCTCTTGGTTTGTTTTTAGCATGTCGTTCGGATATGCTAAAACCAACCAAGAGCTCCTCCTCTGCTCCTGCCATTCGAGCCCCACAGTGCTGGGCAGGGGCTAAGCCTCCAGCAGGAGAACGGCTGAATTCCTCCAGCTCCCTGCAGCCGAGCTCCTCCTCACGCGCGCCCTTTGTGGTTCACAGTGTGCAGGGGCCAGAAGAATGCGACCAAAGCCAGCCTGGGCCCCGGAGCTGCTGCCTCACACAACTTCAATGTTAATTTCCCTTTCATCTTGTGTGTGAAATTGGCGGTGGTGTGGTGCTGACCTCTGGCATTATGAGGTCAAGTGTTGAAATCTGATGTGCGCCTCTCAGGCAGACTGAATCAGACTGACAGTGAGCACAGATAGATGATGGGGGCAGCGGGAGAAGGCAGAGGCCTTTACAAGTCCTCCCCCAGTACTCAGAGGGCGTGCGGCAGGATTTCACACGTGCAAGGAGACAGAAGATTTGAGGAATTCTATGATGTTTAGACAGAGATCATCTTCTTGTGTATATATATATATATATATATATATAAAACTAATTCAGTGTAAATATGGTAATTCATTAAATGTCAGTGTTCAGGCATGAATATTCAGACTTATTCAGGAACTACTATATATCATTCAGTAACTACTGTAAAATTACTGTGCAAGTATATATGAATATAACAATATTCAGACTTATTCTGTAACTTCTATAAATCATTAATTGACTACTATAAAATTACTGTGCAAGTATATATAAATATAATAATATTTAAACTTATTCAATAACTAAGTCATTCATTAACTATTAAGATTTTAAGGGGAATGTCAGTTTTACAATTATGCAATTTCCTATACAAAAAAAAATATATATATATATATATATATCGCTGCTGTCAGACAAGGTGTCAACAAAACCTTGTAATCTCCAAAATGGTAACTTTACAGGAGAAGGAAAAAACAATCTTTACTACTAATGTAAATCACTGGAACCAGACTTTCTTCCAAGTAACTTTGGGTCGTTTCTTTTGGTCCATTTATTATGAAATTTATATATATATATTCATGTATATATATATATATATATATATTTATATATACATACACACACATATGAGTATAACTTTTCAGGGTAATTCCACTGAGTTTTTAAAATTCAGGGTAAAAATGTAAACAAAATAATTCAGTTTCAGTGCTCCACTATGCCGTCACAAGAGGTGACCCAAAGAAAACCTATATTTTCTTATTTAGCACTATTTTACCATCATCAACATTCCTTATATAAACTCAGAAGACACGTGTGGGTTCACTGGTTGTTTTGGACATTACAGTGGCTATGATTATGTTGTAGATATTGTGACCTCTGGTTCCTATCACCACCACTGTAAAGAGATCTGAGTCTGTAACTTTCTCTCCAATGAACCACTTCACATCAAACCACTCTGAATGATTATGTTCACATCTCAACAATTGAATTATGCAGAAATCTTGACAAAGTGGTGGAATTTCCATGTCAGGGGTTAAAAGACAATACCCACAGTGGAAAAGCTGCAGTGTTTACACCTGCTGTTCTGCAGCAGAGCTTTATCTCAGTCTGTACAAAGCGATTCCATCAGCTTGCATCTCTCATATCATCCTCACATACTCCAGCACTCAGCTCTGAATTACATGCCTGTCCTGCCATGCAGTCTGCAATTCACCACAAACTCCCCAACTCAAATACAGCAGTTAACATCTTCTCTTCTAAAGATATTCTTAATCATAAACACAGTAATAAATGCAATCTCCAGCAAGGAGCGCGAGCAGAGAGAGAGAGAGAGAGAGGGAGGAGGGAGAAAGAGAAACATCTGAGCAGATCACTATTAGATATGATTTCCACGATAAGGCTCCATAATTTGGCTTTTAGAGATAACTCCAGGGGCTGGCAGGCTGAACAGTGCCAATTTACTGTTTGTGTTTTTTTTCCACCCCCTCTTCTTTTTTTATGTTTTTATCTCGCCTGTTGAAGGGCTTTTCATCTCTGCTGATTTTCACTCTTTTTTTCTGTATTATCCCCAGAAGGTGAGATCACAAGGCAGCAGAAGGCAGGCCGGCGCGCTTTAAAGCGATGGACAAAATACAAATATTTGAAAATGTATTTCATGGTAATTATGTCAAGTTTCATGGCCTGAGCAGTGCACTGAGGCGCCGCCTAGATGCCTTAATTTGTATAGAAATTGTAATCATTTGTTCATTTCAAGGTGAAAATTGCATTTTTTAATTTAAATTGTATCCTGCGTGATAGGCTATTATCTAGAAAAATTGTCTCTGTGTATTAGAGTCTATGCCCAGGCGTCACGCGTGTTAGGCCCTGACTGGCTTTCAAAAGGAGGGTTTATGCATGTATCTCCTCATAAAATGCGCTGGGGCGCGCTCATTATTTAGGTGCTCCTGTGTTGCGGCTCATTTCCATTTTTCGTTATTAATACGAATTAGTCTGGAAGCTGAGCTTCCAGTTCTAAAGCAAAACATACAAACAACCCTCCATGATTTATGTCCATTTTATGTCTTGGATTGGCAAGCCCACCTTGGATTCTCATTTTTTTTGCTCTTTTTCTTCTCTCCTTCTCTCTCTCTCTCTCTCAGGTGAAACGGATGGAGTGAGGTGTGCATACATAAGGTGCAGGACATGAAAGGGCCGAGTGGGAGAGGCCTGGGCCGCTGAGCTTTAAAGTGTCAGGGAGACTTTTCAATAGGGGCGTATTGAGTGGTTTTGAGAGCGAGCAGGGTTAGCAAGACTTCCAGTTTGCTCACAGCTTAATTCTGAAGTGATGCTGGAGTGTGGAGATTAGAGACTGGGGGGCAGGGAGGGGCATACAGAGCAAAGCAGGCTGGCTAAGGAATAGCAGGGTTACTATGGAGGACTATAATCTTGTATTTCAGCGCCTGGAGACGGCAAATGAAAGGCTTGGCTTAAAAGAGAAAAACTTCCTGCGAACTGAAGGAAGGAATAAAATTGTCTTAACCATATTGACATGCACGGTGGAAAATAAAAGCCATTGTGTAAGAGTATAATGCACCCTCCCTCCAAAAAAAGAAGAACTATATCGAACAATGGTTTCAGTTAAAAGGATACGTGCTTCTCCCTATAACAGTCTCCTACTAAGTAGTCTACTTACCAATCCAGGTTATTAGGCAATCATGCGATCTGTCGGTGTAAGCTGATTGTGCGAATGTGGAATCCCCTCAGTGGAGATCAGACAGCCAGGCTCAGGTACATAATGTATCCTGGAATAATTATGGGATTTAAGGAGATGTTAGGCTTTGTAAGTGCTTTCTTTGTGACATTTTCGAGTGGTTGACACAGCAGAGTCTCTACAACACAATAGCCTTAGGGGCTGTTCAGAAGAGGAGGGGTCAAACTTCTTCAGACATGTTTTAATCAATTCATACCTTGTGGCATTTTTTTCCTCTTGTAATGATAATGTTTTGGTGACCCAAAATACTCATTATCGACTAAGCACCAGGCTTTTTTGCGTCTTTTTTGTTCTTCATGACGGTTTTCAATGAATAACATTTGTTCTTTTATATATATATATATATATATATATATATATATATATATATATATATATATATATAAAAAGAACAAATGTTATTCATTGAAGGAAGGAAGGATATATATATATATATAATGATAATACTCCTTTCGTCATTGAGCTCCTCAGCACCTGTACAGTATATCCTTTGATTTTATTTATTGCAGAATATTGATTGTAAGTCTATAATAAATAGAGTTGCATCTTTATTTGAAATATCATATTTTGTGTAAATATATGTATCTTTTTACTGAACCTGTTCAAACACATTTCGGCCTTTTAACTGACTTGGACTTTAGTTTCTTTCTTTTGCTTCGATTCACTCCTTATCTTAATTATGTTCATTTAATTGAAATATAATGATGATAAAACATAATGATGATGCTATAATTTGACATTCATAACATTATTAAAACTTTACCAAATATTTAAGTAGTGACTGTTTCAGTAATGACAATTATAGCTAATTTTGTGAATAACTCAAAACACTAGTCAGTACATGACTAGTAAACACAGCTATGACCCGCTGTACACACATACAATCATGATACTTTTTATTAAAACACAAAAAAAGCTTACTTAATTGCAGAAAATCTGTTTCGGTAGTGACAAGTTTTAAGGTTACACACTGATTTTCAGACTTTGGGACACATTTAGTTCAAACCAATGGGATTTATCTGCTCACCATGTGGCCATGAGGGACAGGGATGCAACCTCACTTCCTGCTCTGAAATGCAGGGGTGTGGCTAAAATAAAGCTCCACCTAGGACTCTTTGTGTTTCAGTAATGACATGAAAATGTGAAACAGCATTTTTAAATAAACTTAATTTTAAAAGAATCCAAAAAGAATTACTTTGGAAAAAAATGCAAAAACATGTATTATTTTTACAAGTTTAAATCTAGTGGTCAGGGTTTGGGACAGTCACCTCCAAACAGACAGTACCCTATAAATAATGATGTTGGATATATTTAGCTTATTACTGTCTCTATTAATGCCTTGAGTTTAAATATATCATAACATAGTAAGTCTCAATACTGAATAAGTCTGAATACATAATTGTTTTTGTTTTATAGTTTTTTGTTACCAAGAAGCCACAGTTTGAACTAATTTGGTAGAACAGTCCCTGTGTTATTGTATATTATATATAATATAGGCTAACATTCTCTGCCAGTATTCTCCAATCTGTAGGATGCAAGATAAATTGATATTATCAATTTTGTAATGCACATAAACAATAATTGTACATTTAATTGTTGTGATGGTTCGATATGAATTTAGGCTATAAGGATGGGTTAAGGATGGGTGTCTTAAATAAACCACTGCGCAAAAGTCAGAGACCATCCTTCACTTATTTAATTTCCAGTCAAAATGCCCATTACATAAAAGTTATTCATTTTCAGGAGATATTTCTGAGGGAATAGATCATCCACTTGCATAAGGAAGGGAAAAGTCAAAGGAAACTAAGGAGTTCCTGAAACTAGAGTCAATAATGATTAAAACATGTAGAGACAATGGGACTCCAAACAAGCATGCAAGACCTGGTAGACCACCATAACTGGCACCATCAGATAAACAGTACTTAAAGCTTTCTTCTTTGAGAGAAGATCAAACTCTATTCTTGCTTTGAACAAATCCACAGGTGTTTCTGTCCATCCTTCCACTGTGAGAAGACAACTCAGCGCTATGAGTCTGAAAGGATGTGTGGATGTCGAGAAGCTGTTAAAAAGAAACAGACAAAAAAGAGTCAAATTTGCAAATCAAACAAAGAAGCTGCTGCTATTCTCAGACCAATGAGAATGCTGTCCTGCTCAGAGTCCAGACAGCATCACTGAATACGTTTATGATTATTTGGATCATGAGAAGCAGAAAATACAACCAACTTCTAAGACTGAAATGACTGAAATTTAAAAGTGTGGAAAAATCTCCCTGCAGATTACTTTGAAAAACTGAAAGCAAGTCTACACTCTTAAAAAGATGGTTCTTCAATGGTTCTTTAGTGTAGAAAATGGTTCTATTTACAACCATAAGTTCTATGTAGAACATTTTTCATGCTTAATGGTTATTTGCATAGTGAACTGGTTTGTCAGATTGATGGAGAACGTGCTGTAGACAGTTCTATATAGAACCTTTTTGAAAAGGGTTCTTTATAGCAACAAAAAGAGTTCTGCTGTTGTTACTTTGTCAAACTTGTAGCAGTAAAACCCTTTTTGGGGCTGTATAGAACCATTTTGACGAGAAATTCTATATAGAATCATCGACATCATATTCTTCATCAATCGGAAGAACCCTTTCATGATGCAAAGAACCCTTGAAACCCTTTAAAAAAGATTCTTTGAGAATTCATGGCTCAAAATAGAACCATTTTCTTTACCCAAGCACCCATAAAGAACCATCTTTTTTAAAATGTGTACTTAAAAGAACAGATTCTGTAATAAAGGCAAAGAGTGGACTCTAAAGTTATATTTAGTTGTTGAGGTTTCTGTGTATTTATCTCTTAAATATATGCTGAAAATGAATAACTACTGGAAAGTACAAGGCACAAGGCAGAAATTGACCAGAATCAGTCTGATTGGTCTGAAAACATGCTGGACGGACAGCACTAATGGAAAGCATTTAGTCTGTGTGTGTTTTCCGATGGACAAAGCAGCTGCTCCCCTGATAGCAATATTGCACATATCCGTAATTACTTTTTATGACAGCGCATTATGTTGAAGACAGCTGAATCATAAAGAGAGTCCTCAGTGCAGAATCACATACCAGTGAGATTTCATCACTGCATGCTGGAGAACCTCAGAGGTCCTCTGACTAACTCCATCACAATGCAGATCTTTCTCTCAACATCACTGAATGACTGAATGCACCTCTGCGCTGTTACAAGGTGTCTGAACCACTGGCTGGTTTCTAACTGGTGCTGCTCTCGACTCGTCTCGGGCCATAAGCCACGGACTGCACATTGACCAGCATTCAGAGGCTCCGTGCCCAGACGATGCCCTCATGGTCAGGTCTGAAGTAGATGGCCTGGGGCTATCCAGCCATTACACAAGCCTTCTGTGAAGGCAGAGGCTGTGAAACATGGCTGTTGTGACACTGCTTTTAAACGCTTCTTTATTCGCTCACAGCTCGGCTCAATTACTGGAAACTATTTTTAGTATCTTAAATCACGACGACTGTCAAGATGCTCTTGACTTCAAAGGCGCTGCAAAATACTGCATTGTTGGGAAGGGGATTAAATCATGATTACAGTTTTTAGCAACATCAAAGCACTCAACACAGTATGTATGATATATGCCAATAAATATTCACACTTAAGAATTACTGACTAGAAATATTAACCATTAAAACCTGTGTATGGGCTGTTTCAGTTCTGTTTTTGCTTGAGAAATAATAATAGGGATATATAAATACAGAGAAATTTGCAGTGTTTCATAGGATCCCTTACCATTTGAACCATTTTTGTTATTTTCTATACCATAATAACTTATACAATGTGGATTAAAATATTACAATTATTAAACTACCGCCAAAATATAATTTTTTGATGTTTTATTCAATATTTCTAGATTTCTATAAACAAGAGGTGAAAAGACTAATAATAATTGTACTGTAATTCTTTAAATACATTGACAGTTTGTCAAGTTATGTGCCATAAGATTTGATCTCCACTTTTAAAATATGATGAATTCTGGATATAAATTTTATTACAACTTAATTCTCAATGTTTCTCAGTCATTTTAGAATCGTCTACAGCTCTGTTCATCACTGAGGACACATCTAAACTGCCTTCATCTGTTTTACAGTTTCTTAGTGTCCTACACACTTAAAACAGATGGTTCTACAAGGGTTCTTTAGTAAAGAAAATTGTTCTATCTAGAACCATGAACACTCAACGAACCCTTTGCATGATCAAATGACAAAGAACCCTTTGCATGATTGAAGGGTTCTTGGCATCGTGAAATGGTTTTTCAGACTGATGGAGAATGTGTAGTACCTTTTTGAAAAGAGTTCTATATAGCATCAAAAAGGGTTCTGCTATTGTGACAAGCTTGGCATTGTAACAGTAGAAGAACCGTTTTGGTGCTATATAGAACCCTACAGCACATTCTCCATCAATCTGAAGAACCTTTTTGAGATGGAAATATCTGTTTAATTATGCAAAGGGTTCTTTGAGTGTTCATGGTTCTATATAGAGCCATTGTCTTTACTAAAGAACCCTTAAAAACAAAATTTTTAAGAGTGCACTAATGAGCTGAAAGCTGTTATATTGAACAGGATTAACCGATTCAAATAATTTTATATGAATCTGCAACCAAACCTTCAAATGGCAGCATATTTTTTCTCTAGAAAAGTGGAATTATGAAATAACTTATGTTTAGGATGAGGACCCTGCCTGAAGCTCCTCCTGCTGTTCTAACCTACTAAAAAATTCCATCTCTACCTTCTGTTTCACCTTCATCACCTCCCTGTTCCCTAGTCTAGTCTCTCATTCCAACCTCTGTTCATCAAGGGGGGGAGTCCGGTGTTCTAGGTGAAGCAGAAGCTACCTAGAATTCCAGCACACGTTCCCAGAGTTGTCTCCGCTCCTACAGTCACGCAGTCTCCCCTTAGGTTTCAACCACGTGAAGCCATGTTTTCGTCTCCCAGATTACAATAAGAAGTCACAGAAGAAATGGAACTGTGATGGTTGTCCAGTTTTTTCCGAGCTTTAATCAATAACAGTGCTACAGTAAAGACATCAACAGGCTGAAGGTAGGAAAGCCAATACAAGTTCCCACTACGCTATTGTTTCATACAGCAGAATAAATTATGCCATGATAATATACATACATGCTGAACAAAAAGATAACAAAGCAAATTACAAAAGCTTGAATGAAAAAAACAAAACAAAAAAAGGAGTGAATTAGATAGGAATGTGATGGACCAACTGAAGCTAGAAAGAAATTTGGGGAGGCATAAGAGCGCCAAGTCAAATAGTGCTTTAAATATCTCAAAGGTAGATTAATGTTGGTGTTAGAAATGAGTGCTACACACTAAAAACATCTTACATTGCTTTTTTTTGTCTTTCCTTTCTTTTATTACAAAAACGCTTGAAGTGTTAAAATGAAATGCTATCAGTCTTTGTTGGCACGTGGTCGTGTGCCTGAGTGAGTTTGTTCCGTTTTCCTGAATATCATGACATGCGTTAGCCTGGGTGCCATGACATGACGTGGCCTTCTGACTGCTTGTCAACATCGTCTACTTTCTGGTTGGTTAAGGCTGGAAAAGCTCCACCCACCAACCTCCTTAACCTCCGTCTGGACTGCGTGATTAGACAGCACCCAGGCTAGACATGTAGAGTATGGATGGGTAACTCTCCGTTGGTCCTGGACAGCAGGTAGAGGGGCTCTCCGTTCCTTCCCAGTTCATCCTGGTCATGGAGGTCCTCTCGTCGTGTAATGGTTTGCGAAGAGCTGAAGTGAGGTGCTCTACTGAGACGCGAAGTAGGGAATCGAAGGGTGCATGTAAACTCAGAATACTGATTATCCGTGTGGCTCAAAATGAAAATGTCTTTCTGGAAGGGATTTCACAGGAGGTCACATGGATGAGTGATTTACATACAAGTAGCTTGTCTTTTCATGTCTTTGGAACAAGAAAGTAATCAAAAGAGTGCAAACAGAATGCAATATTTTTGAATTTATGCAACAGTTCGACAATATATTCTGTCCACTCTATCCTTGGAGCTTGTTTATATCTGCTTTCTCATTACCAACCAATTCACACTCACACAAATAATTCTGTAATATGGAATATGAGCCACACAAAGCCACTTCAACAGTACATTTCACCATTTCCACTGCAAACTGTGAGGTAATCATTGCTGAACGTTCTGTGGTGGAATTGTTCACAGAAAGGCAGTATAGAGGAGCAAAAAAGGGTTAAAAACACTGTATTTGGATGGTCCGATGTAGTGGTTTGTGTAATATCAGTATATCTTTAAGCAACATTCAACTGAACTTGAACTTGAAGTTGAGTGTGAAAGACTGAATTAAATCTATTCCTAACCCTAAACCCTAACCTTAATGCAAAAACAACACATACTCCTAAACCTAACCCTAACCATAACGGTGTTGATAATCAATTGAGAATCACCAGAAAGTTTGTTAATGAGTTAAGTCTCTGTAGATCATCTATAGGACCATCCAAATAAAGTGTGACCAAAAAAGTGTGATATATTCATGGAATGTGGAATAATTGTCCATATAAGATCCAATGAGATATTTGTCATGTTTTGGAATTGAGCACCATTAAGTTATAGACAGTAGAAAATCCCAAAGTAAGCATACTGCCCTCACCTAGCCTGGAAAAGTAAAATGTTTATGTGCAATTCAGGATAACTTGTGCTTTAAGATCATAGTGATAATACTTCAATGGAATGGATTGTTCTTTAGAATTAACAATCTGGGATCAATGCTTTAGGAATGTCAATACTTTTGCTTACTCCATAAGACAAAAATGATCATAAATAATACTGACGACTGCTCTTCCTCCAAAGCTCTCCTCTGCTTTAGGTCAAGAGGCAGGCTGCTGGTCTGTCGCTTTAAAACTGTTTATATTTCTAACCAATGTGGCTTTTTCCCCCAGCGGCTGATACATGTGGGGACGAAGGGGAAAGGGATTGGAAATTCTCAGAGCCCTCATTGGCCACTCTCTCCCGAAGGACTCCGCTGAGCTAGACACCCCACTGACTCGCCCAGATCTCTCGGAATGTCAAGCTTAAGATTAAAATGTGAAGGTCGAATAACACGCATTGCAGGCAGTCCGAAAAGCTATCAGCCTCTCTCCATGCACCTCCGTAATGTGTTAGAAAGCCAGACCTTTGCAGAGGAACCCAAAAGGACAAAATAAAAACATGTAAACAGAAGGTCATTACAATAATAATAATTCCAACGGTAATAGAAACAACCACAATCATTATATCAAATATAATCATAATACCATCATTTTAAGTCCTATGAACAACATGGTCCAAACATTTCGGAATGGGGCAGCGGCTGCGATTGCAGCCCGTGTGTGCTAACATTGACTGCTGACGGGCAGGGTGCGACTGATGGGGACCCAGATAATGGATGCTTGCTTTCCTCCAGCCTCTCTGAAACCCTGAAAGAGTCTCTTTGTTGAGATGGAGGTTGGAGGGGGAGGGGGGGGCGTGAGAGGCGGCACTATAGTGTCTTGTTTATTAAATGGCTTTTGTATTCACTCAGCCAAAGGTCAGGAGTCTAAGGCTGTCTATGATTTTAGCTACTTCTCTTTCACGCAGCAGAGAGAGAAACGGCACGATGGATGGAGGGATGCTGGTGAAGGAGAGAAGCGATGGTCAGGAGAACGAGTCCGTCAATAGGCCTGGCCCGTCTCCACTTGTAGCAGTCCCAGCACGGCCGAGTGTTCCCCAAGCTTCATTCTCCTCTGTGTGGACAAGCTCACGTTCTTCGCCAGGTAGTCTACCGCTGCTGCGTGAGACAAGTCAGACAAAAACATATCTCAGATATGGCCTTTGGTTTTACAAAGCACCTAAAGCAGTGGTTGCCTACCTTGGACCTGGAATAGCCAAGCACTAATATACCTGACTAATCAGCTAATTTAACTTAATCTATTCTTCTCCCTTAATAACATGGTTGGTTAATGCTTTTGTCACATTCATTAATTAATAATAAGCCTACATACATAGGACTTCGTAATACATACATACACTGAATAAGACATTTCTAAAGCAATAATTGAACATTCATAAACAGCTCATGCCAGTAATCGCAAGATGACATGAGACGTTTTTAGAGGTTGAGGTTGACAAAAAGGCTTTAAACTAGAGTCATGGACAATCCATTGCTATATATCAGTTCTGTGGAAGATTTTGATGCCTCAAAATTAAGTGATCATGATTAAGAAATCATTTTCATACATATTTTCTCATATACATTAATATATGTGTCTGTCTTCTGATGCCCTCCAGCTTAAGTGATCATTTCCATATATATATATATATTTGCCATATAGGTAAATATGCATGTCTTTAGTTTAGGGCCCAATATGTCAACACAATATTATTTACTTGACAAAAAATTGTATGGCATCGTGCGATTACTGGAAAGAAGTATTGTATTTTTCAGTGCTTACATATGTGTTATGAACTTCCTATGTAGGCTGCCTTCAAATAAAATGTTATCAATCTGAATTCCATTCTCTATGTATGCACACCCAATCAGAAACTTCAATAAACTCAGGGGTACTTTAGTAAAATCAACATCTTGCTTCTTTTAAACAGTGAGAGAAAACAGGTTAACAACTAATCTGAACCGCTGAGTAGAGGTGGGAGGGCATGGGAGGGTGGAAGTTGGGTAAGAGTGGCGGGAAACGTGCAAGGCAGGGGTACCACTGACCCACAGTATATCAGATGATAACATAAAACAATTATTTGGAGCGTAGGCAGCACTTCCTAACCACTCACTATTACGCAGCTAAGATGATGGCTCTTCGGGGAAACAAATGAACCACCTGTTCCCTGCTGTCATTCACTCCTGTCATACAGAGTTTTCGTCTGTGCGTTCCTCGTTAACTCTGTCATGGCTGCTTTCTGCATTCCACACTCCTCCATCATCTAGCATCAGATCAGGACATGCTGCTCATTCAGTAATCTACATCATCCTTCCCTTGAACAAATGGCACCTGATTACAAAGTGTCAGAGGCAGAGAGCTGGGGAGATAAGTAATCAGTGCCCACTTTCAAAGCAAAGAGGTTTTCTGCCAATTGCAAAAACTGCTGTGAAGTACTGTAATCCCACAATTGTATTTCAAATCTGATAGAGTAGATTTAGACAGTAGGTCCACTCAATTTTGCACGCTGGCGAATATGTGAGTGAATGGCTGTAAGAAACGTGAGTAAAAGGAAGAAAAGGCAGAGATTTTTAGCAGATAGGTAAAATGCGACTTGATCCAGCCGAAATGGTGTGACTAACACAGCACCTAAGGGCACAGTTCTCATCGGCCTGATCTGCAGCCTGGCTGTTGCGCAGAGATCTTTATCAGGAGCACGTGTCGGGACTAACCCGCGGGCAGATCCGGGGTCAAAGGGCACAACCAGTCTCGCCCACTGCCCAGAACCTCTGCATTGATCTAGCTCACACCTCACAAGGTTTCAATTTGACTACACAAGCTAAAGACATTAAGAGTTTTGGAGTGGTGGAAAAAGGCACAGGGAATGGGCCAGGAGGTCACGAGGACAAACCAAGGGCAGTGTGGAGCTAGTGCAGCAGAGGGGCAGAAAGAGAGGAAGCTCCAATTAACCCCCCTATCCGCTTCCCTTTTAAAACAGAGAGCCTACACAGGCCTCCCTCACTGATTAAGCCACAGTCAGACTGGAGCTGGGCATTAATTTAGCACAAGGCTGAGCTAGCGAGAACTTTCACTTACATATTTGTCCTCTGAAATGGACAAAAAATTGGGGATAAACGTAACTAATGGAGACAAAAAGAGCTAGTGTTAGTCTCAAATCTGTATACCGAGAGCTAAGAGATTGAGGGCCTGGTGTACTAAGGCTTTTGCACAAAACTGGTGTCTGAAGCTAAATGCTAAGTTTATGGGCCGTATGAATTGTTAAGCGCCATATGTGTTCATTTTCCTCATGCATATGTTTTTGTGGGATGGTCATATAAAAAGAGGTGGAGGTTACATGTTCAGTTTTTTGGCTAGATTTACTGAGGTTTGAACAACTGGAAGTGTCAATTTTTCTTCACTTTCTTAAAACATACATGAATTTGGGTTAGGGCAGAGGTGTCCAATCCTGGTCCTGGACGTCTTGCACCCAGGAGAGTTCAGGTCTAACACACCTGGCTTTGTTGTTCAGATGCCCCTGAATGCCTTAATTTCCTGGATCAGGTGTGATAGACTTTTCTTTGAGCAAAGCTCTCTAGGGTGATAGAGCTCCATGACCAGGACTGGGCACCCCTGCGTTAGGGTCTCAAAGATGTGCTGTAGAGAGATCTCCCTTAACAATGGTGAAGGCATGGCTGCAGTATTTAACTCTGTTTTCTTAGCCAGAATAAAAAACACATTTTTGGAATGGTTTGGTGGGAAAAAGCTTCATCTCCATCTGTCCTGAGAGTTTGTGCTTTCACAGCACAGTTAGTGTGCAGTGTTCAGCATCTGTTTGCTAGCATTTGCTACATTTAATACTTAGACCTTAATATGAATTCGTGTCTGAGCATACCGGCCATTACTACAATTACTACATTGACCACAATTACTACAGGGGCCTTAGTGTCTGCATGCTAGCATTGACACAACAGGCCAAACATTTCCGAGCTAGTCAAGAGGCCCAGACATAATAATCACTACATCAAAACGTCAACAGTAGTGACAAAGACTGTGTACCTGGGCCAGAGGAAGTCAACAACAGAAGCTTTCATGATTAATGGGGAAAGAAACAGCCCACCCCCCTTTTTTCCTGGGTGTGAGCATAAGCATGTTGGCATTAGCTGTTGGCCTGTCAAGTGTGTCGGATGCGTGCGGTGGCAGGCCCTTTGATATCCCCGGCTGGCGGGGGGAGTTATTTTCACCTCTCCTTCTTCTTTTGTGGTACGTGGCAGTGCCTGGGCGGGGCAGAGTGACGGTGCGCACGGACGTTGCCAGGCGTCTGTCAGCGTGACAGTAAGTAGCGAGGGTTAGTGCGCGTTAGCACACGGAGAAAGGGGGCTGTCAGGAAGCAGGCAGAGTGTACGGTAGCTGCCGCATACCTGTGGGTGGGCCATCTGTCCATACTGGAGACGCTCGGCCTGACAGCTGGCAAAGAGGGTAATCAGCCACGATTTAACTCTGTGCACTTTCACTCTCTCTCTCTATCTCTCTCTCTTGCTCTCTCTCTCTTTCTTTCCTGTCATACAAGGTTTACTCTTTAAATCCGCCTCAAAATGTGCAACTCTGCCTCTCCTCTTCTTCCCAGAGTCGCTCTATCTGCTCCCTGGCACCCGTGGCCACGGAGTGCGCTCTGAGCACACATGCACACTCCCTGCAGCACTGCACCCTCTAAGCTGCCACCTCGCCCTCTGCATTTTAATGAGCCGTCAGACAGGTACACTCTGTGAGATGTTAAGCCTGTCTTTGACTTTAACCACTTAAACTCTAAGGACCATCAGGTCCAGACTATAATAATGGCAGTTGTATGCAAAAGTTTGAACACCCCAGGTGAAAATAAGTTAACACATGTTCTATAGAGAACACACTAAAATATAACATTTTCTGCTAATTTTAGTGCAAACCTTTTATTTATTTGCTAAGTTTAACATATTAGAAAAAAATAAAACATATAAAATTTGTCATTACTTTTGCACAGGCAACACTTTTATGTTTTATTTTTCCCCAATATGTTAAATTCAGCATATAAACAGTAATTGTGCATTAAACGTAGATGTCTATCTAGAGGACATGTACTTATTTTCACATTTTCAACAAAACTGTTATTTGACCATCCAAACATTTGCATATAATCGTTAATAATGATAAAATAGTGAGAAATCTGGAAAAATAAGTTTACTTTGGGTATTATTTTACCTTACAACAACATCCATGTACTTCTCCACCATGAAATATGGTTTTGGCCATTGTACTGGCTATTGTAAAATAATGTCTCAGGGATCAGGTGACATATTCATTACTATTTTATGTAATAACCATCTGTGAGGGAGTTTTTAGAGGCATCAAACTCTTCAGACATCTGGTTCCTATCACCACCACTGTGAACAATCTGCTGTACTCACTCTGGCCGTACTGGCTATACTGGTAGCCGGCAGTTACGGGGTCCACGCTGTAGCTTGTGGTGCTGTAAGTGGGTGGGCAGTAGGACTGAGAGGAGGCCAGGCTGTCCGCTGTTTTGATGGGCTCGGAGCGCTGACTGCAGCTGGCTGAGATGGGATTGGAGGCCTCCAGACCGCTGTGCAGGGGCGAGATGGAGAAGTCGTGCTGCGGCTGAGGAGCCACGGCGCTGGGGTTGCTCAGGATGCTCATCACCTGCGGGCAGAACATAAAATGGCTACCATCAGCAAAACTGAAAAGAAGGAGTGCCACTAACACAGCTCTAAAGCCCACTCTGGGCCGGCAGTACCCTTAGCAGTGCAGACAGTGATTTATTTGTCAGTCACTGGGAATCACAACAGAACTCACACAGTTCAAGGCAGGGGTTAAGTGGCACCACAACAGCAGTCTTTCACTGCATCCCGAGGGAGCGTTTAGCAGCTTGGAAACAGTGTCAAAGTAAATAACACAGAGGGGTAGGATCGACAGAAGGGACCTTGGGAAGGAAGATGAGAGAGAGAGAGTGTGCCAGGGCTGTGTGTCCTGAGGCTGAGTACATAACAAGCTCTCAGGGAGGGTTTAATCGGAGGCCCTCAGCTATCCCACTGCCTCTGGCCTCATGAATGATTAAAACGTTTCAAATAATAAATGCTCACATTAGACGCCCCCAGAGGATAGATCAGCCCCCGTGCCAGGCCTGCTTCCCCCACGCACTGCCTTGTTCACATGTAACTTAATATGAGACAAAAATCAAACTGCACAGGGTTCTTCCTTCTTTGTTCACACTCATCAGAATGTCTTCTTCTGTTTGCAGAAGAGTGTAAATAATTATTTGAAAACTGTTGTTAAAGAGGAACTTCACTGATATTTCAAACTTACTGCATAATTAAAGTCTTTAAGATATAAACAAAGTCATTCAGAGTGGTTTGATGTGAAACGTACAGCGTCAGAATTGTTCACAATGGTAGTTATAGGAACCAAATGTCCAATGCATTTAATGCCTTTAAATGCTACGTCATGGAAAACTATTAGACAAAACTGTTATGAAATGTGTTGCCTGACTCCTGAAATAGTTGTTAGATAAGGCATTAAAACATACTTTTAATAATCCATTCTTACAGTGGTACACATAAGGTGTTGTAAGGCAAATAGTACTCTAGATAGAAATCAAATTTTTTCAGATTTACCAGTATTTTACAGAAAACACATGTAGGTTCACTTATTATTTTGGATAGCAAATAAAATGGCTATATTTGCGCTGTTAATATCACAACCCCTGGTTCCTATCACCACGTTAAAGAAATCTGAGTTGGTAAGTTTGCAATGAACCATTTCACATCAAAATACTGTTTAACAAATTTGTTTACATCTCAGTGATTGAATTTAACACACATTTTGAAAAATCTGTGAAATTCCTATTTAAAGACGTTTCTTGAAGCCTGGCCCAAAGGTGTTTTAAACAGTTGAAACATTTGAGTACTGATGAGTGCTGATATCACAACAAGGGGATAAAATGCAAGAATTTTGCCTTATTACCAAATCATAACTATTGTGACAAATATTGTTATGTGTGATATTGTTTCCCTCAAAATAAATGGTTTTTAATATCTTAACTGACAAAGAAAACTTGCTTACTTGTACTAAGATCACAGGGCATACAGCTGAGCAAAGCTAGACCAACTCAATCAACAGTATAGATAGAAATAGAAGGCTACAGAAAGATGTTCGAATTGTCAGGAGGAGCTAGCTGAGGAGGCAGCAATGGAAAGAGAAGAAGGGAAAGAGAGTGAGAGCGAGAGAGTGAGGCACGGGAGGGGCAGGAAAGCGGAGGAAGGAGGAGGGCACAAAGAGAGAGGCAGACGGAGAGAATAGAGCTACTCGTGGAAGCGGCTGTGTCTGCCACATGCTCCCCATCCGCAGGCCGACACAAAGCATCCTCCTCAACATCAGGTTCCCGTTGCGGCTCGCTACGCCCCACTGGCCTTTGGCCGTCTCGAGCCCCGGCCTGCTAAACCAATTAGCCTTTCACAGAGCTGCCGAGAGCTAAACCAGACCCACATGCACAGGCCCAACAACATCCATGGGCTATTTGCTGAAGTTCTACACAACCTGCAAGTTCGCAAACTAATTTACAAAGGCCAAAACACGCAAACACGCCCAGTGGGTATGCATGGGTTAATACACAGCCCTAAACAGCACATTTAGAGTAATATCCTTTTGCCCAACAGTTCCGGGGGAAAATATGCCACACTTGAATATTAAAAACATAAAAAGACACTTGAGATGCATGGCTTCTGCACTGGATGTTAACTACATGAGTATGGAAAGTCCCTGTGCATGCGATGTGTGCAGTGAAAAAGCAGACACAGGCTGTTTGATGAGGCAGGAAAGGTGGGGGTTTGGGGGCCGTGGTGGCTCGGTCACGCTGCCGCGAGCTGGAGTGTAACCCTGGACACGGGGCTGTGGGTCAGCGCCCGCCGCTTTCCACCTCACAGGGGGCTCCATGGCCAGCTGGAGGGGAGACTGACTTAACAGCCGCTTAATTAAGCCCTGATTATATTCAGCTCTTTTGTATACCCGTTAAATTAAAAGCCTGCTAACGGGCCTGGGCAGCATCCAGGACCAGCAGAAAAAAATCTGCATTTACTATTAAAACATAGAGTACTGTGCAAAAATCAGAGACTACCGTTCATTTAATTAATTTTCAGTGAAATTTCCCAGAAGCCTCAACATCAAATATGGTATCAGTTTTTTCAGTGTTAAGTATGTCCACATGTTGCCCTCCTTACAGTTTCCAAGAGATTTAATTTCATTTTTTCTGAAATTAGAGTAATAAGAAATCTGCATATTTTATATTCCTTTAAAGTTCAGTCTTAGAAGTTAATTACACTTTCTGATTCTCAAACTTCAAATAACTCCACACACTTTTAGTGACGTTGAGGCCTGGAGTCTGAGGTGGCCAGTCCATGTTTCTGAGAAGAGCAGCAAACCTCTTTGTTTGATTGCAAATTTTCTTCTGTTTTGTCTATTTCTTTGTTTCTTTTTTCAGTAACAGCTTCTATCTCTCTAGATTAAAGCTTTAAGTGCTGTTTATATGAAGGTGAGAGTTTTGGTGGCCTACCAGGTCTTGTAAGGTTGTTAGGAGTCCCATTATATTACTATTTTTAATTGTCCCAGTTTTCTAATCTCCCATTTTTTCACTTTATTTCATTTTATTCTCCAAGTTTTTAATTTGTATCTCCTGAGAAATTAGTAACTTGTACTTAATGGCTGTTTTGACTGGAAATAAAATAAGTGAAGATGATCTCTGTGTTTAGCACAGTGCAATATATGTTTTTTGTTGATTTGTGAACATTCCTGTAATCATAAAGACCCACTTAATTCTCAGCAAGTGCCTTAGACTGTTTGTATTTTGCTCATAGGTTATCAAAGAAGTGGTGAAGAGAAACCTTCACTTTATCCTAAACTGTAATAAAGTCGTGAAACGCCATAATCCTCTGTGCTCCCTTAAACCGACATTTGGGGTGTAATTGGAGGTAATTTTGGGTAATAGCAGAGCTGGAGCGGGTGTACGCTCAGACTCTCGGCGGGAGTGGAGTTTTAATCAGATGAGCGGGGGGAGGCAGCACGAGGGGTGTCAGGGCAGAATGTGCTGAGGGAGGCTAAGAGAGCGCCGGGCGGCTGACACTTCCATTCAGCCCTGCGCTTAAGCAGCCTGTAGCCGCGCTGATGCCATTATTGCGCTGAAAGCCAAATTATTCAAATCTTCAAATTTAGCATAACCTTATTGACATCAATTAAAGTGGCGAATGGAGAATATTTCAGGGCAGAGAGGTAGAGGCCTGTAGCAGGAGCAGCCTCTCTCTCCCCGGTCCTCTCCATAGGCCATGATGGCCAATCAGCTGCAATTAGCACAAGCAGTCCAAACAGCTCACTGACACAACATGTACTCCAGCAGCACCACCCAGAACGGCTCCTTTGGTAGTGTTTATATGGGCTGCAGCCCTCACAGTAGGACAGGCCAAATATCACTGTTAGGATTACAGGGTTGTTTCTCTTGGCTGTGGTTCCTAGGAAAAAATAGTTATTTGAAATCTGAATTATGCTTACTTCTTGTGTTGCATTTATCAATCTATTTGAGTGAGATCTTGCATTATTTATCCACTCTAAGTCTAAGAGAACTGTATTCAAACTGTGTGGCATTATGTACAGTACTGCTCAAAATCAGAGTCTTGCAACTTTCCATAGACATTTCTGAGAAGATTAGATATAAAATAATCCACTTGCATATGGAAGGGGAAAGTCAAAGGAGAATGCATGCTCGCTCCAGATCTGGAAAATCCACAGGTGTTTTTGTCCAACCTTCCACTATGACAAGACAACTTAATGCTATGGGTCTGAAAGGATGTGTAGCTGCCAAGAAGCCATTACTGAGAAAAGGAGACAGACACAAAAGAAGAAAAATTGCAAATAAAACAAAGAAGCTCCTGGTGTTCGGAACAGAGTCCAAACCTCAACATCATTAATATTGTGTTTGGGACTACTTGGATCGTGAGAAGCCAAAAATGTACCCAACTTCTAAGACTTGAAATCTTGTTATATTCACATTTAAAGAGCATACAATAGTTAAAATTTAAGAATGATTCTTCCGTCCTATAAAGTTACCATTTCAAGACACAAGGGGTTTGTTATATGATATGTGAATTCACTGGTATTGCTAAGTCAATAAAAACAACATTAGAGGTAGATTTCGCTATGGTATGAAGTAAGAAATGAAAACAAATAATGCAGTTAACCTTGCCTGTGGGTAGAAACTAAAGAAGAATATAAGTTGAGCTATGAGGACGGGGGGGAGTGAGAGGAGGGGGACGAAAGCCTGGCCAGGCTGGGGGTTGTAATCTATTATTTCCTGCCATACTACCATCACTAAGTAAAAATCAATATTCTTTCCACATGTGTAACCTTTTTGTATCTGATATGGCTGGTGGGAGGAAGCAGGAATATTTGCCAATCATCCTGGCTGACAAACAACATCCCCAGGCGGTCCAGCTGAACAGCCCCACGAGCACCAGAGGACGAAACAACTCACACTCACAAAGAGCGAAAATATCCGACAGTCTGGAACACACTTAACTTTCTCTGTTCCTTTCAAACTTCCCTCCCCCACAACCCCAAGTCCCCTCCTCTGTGTCCCTCTCTCTCCCTCTCTCTCTCTC